GGCAGTTATGTGAGAGTCTCTGCTTCATGCTTGCATCCCCTGCTTAGTACCTGCGTAAGGTATCATGCGGGGAACCGCTTTGAGTCTGTGAAGTGGGCTGCCTTGCCAAGTGTCTATCCAACCCTTGCTGGCTTGCTCCTGCCGGCTTGGGAGGGCGGGCCTATGGAGCTTGGGTGATGCAGGTTGCTTGCCTTGCTCTGCGCTCCGCGCCCCGTTTGCGTCTTAACCCCACCGGGGGCAATTGTTGATACACGTCATAGAGTTAGTCGCTTATCCTCAAAAGCACTGTTCTCTTCCAAACTATGTACCTTCATGTTCTTCAGGTTGAATAGAAAATCAATGCCGAGGCTATTATAGGGGCCAAGACATTCGATTTTTAGTGTTGATAGAATACATGAGATGGCGTTATCTCTTCCACGGGTGAACAACCCATGCAAGATATTGGAGTATCTTTCAAATATGGCGTCGTCGGCAAAGTCATCGGCCACTATTGAAATACTGAACAATTCCTTTTGCTTATTCTTCTTCTGGAAGTCTATTACCTTGTGTGTGTGTGTGTGTTCTCTAATATGCTTTAAGGCAAGTGCGTCGTATTCTTCAGAATTTTCTTTTTCCTGTATTGTATCCACTGTCATTATATCAGTAGTGTATTTCTTGACTGCCCTCCATGTGTCATCTACATGAACATTAGGGCTTAAAAAACGTACTCTCACAGGAACCTCGGTAAATCTTTAGTCTTCCATTTTGCAAAAAAGCAGACTTGCCACCCGCTGAAGAGGCAACACATAGCATTCTTGCAGATAGATTCTCGTATTTGCTTCTCTCACAATTGTATTTGGGTATGTCTATAGGTTCTACTTTCGAAATATCTTCACTCGTTGATTTAAGATAGAATCTGTTTCCAACATTGTTATGACAGCATACCCCCGCGATTGTGTCCCCATGCAGTGAATAATTAGTTAAACAATCAGCATGTGTATAACCCATAAGCACACCGTAAGAGTGTGGAAATACTTAATTAGATTAAAACCATGTTCATCGTAATTACTGTTTTTGATAAATATTGTAAAATCGATTTTTTTGACAACATATGTTGATAAGAGAACCATGGATTGCAATGCTGAGTATTACCCTCCTCATTGTGATCGGCAATGTGTTAGATGTAAAGGATAGAAAAAATTTCTGTGTGTGTTTTTAAGAGATATTAGTATTGTAAAACGGGTAGGTATTCAATGCAGTATAGAACCACGGCTACTTGTTGCGAATGTCTTGATGGTATGAAAGCATATGAGAAACGGAAAATGACTTAAAAAGGATCGTGCGTTGTCTACATAACATGGAAGGTTTAAACATCAAATGCTCCAGGTGTCACAGTCAAAAGACAGTTGAAGAACTCGGATACAGCAAAAGAAATAGCAAACTATTGCAAGTTGTATTCAATAGAGTATAATCGTAAATACAAAAACCAGATGACAAGCCGTCAGAAAAATTTGTTGCGATGAACTTCTTGAGTATTTTATGATACTTTGTAAGCAGGACGGCAGGATAATTGTAAACGCTTGCGCGCGGCGCCTCGGCAGTCGGACCGGCCCCAGGACAGGAAAGGAGGAAAGAGGGTTTCTGGCCCGCGTCCATGGCAGGGTTAGGGGAGGTGCCAGAAAGGTGGGTCCCAGGATGGAAGGTGCAGGGGGTGGGGGGGGGTCCCAGAAAGGTCTGAAAACGCCATTTTGTCCATTTTGGACTCAGATTTTGGTGTGGGGGGAAGGGTTGGGTTATGGGGAAGGAGACCTGATCCGGGTCTCTCGGCAGGAAGCCGAGGCGAATAATTGAAATTCCTATGAACACTGCCGTAAAGGATCTCAATAGTAAGCAACCGGAACAAACCAGTGAAAACAGAACGACTATATCGGATAACGCATTCATAAGAATAATGTAAACATAATTCACAAAGGGTTCGGGAATATGTTTATATTGCGTTCAAACGTTAAAAAAAATTTGTTGCGTGCAACACTACAACCTTTAACCATAAACCGAGCAAAATATACAGGGGAACCATTGCCCACTTTGGGATGATACTGCCACCTGATGGAATATGGATAGGGTGATTGGTTATTCCTATACTGGTCTGGGAAATGGGGAAGTTTGGTGTTGTAGTAGGGATATAGGAATCTTCCTCGAAGCTGGAGGTTGTTCCTATACTGGTATTGGTAATGGGGAAGTATTTGTGATATAGTTGGTGAGATGTAAGGAGGGAGAAGAGGAACAATCTTCTAATGGGTGGGTTAGTGGTAGGCTGGTGGTATTATCACCCAAAACGGGCAAAGGTTCCGCTAACTAAAAACACCCTGGGCTCGGACTAATCGCCGAGGTATCTTGCGTGTTGTCTGCTGTGCCCACAGTGCTGCTCCTCCTGCGGCTGGTCCATGTTTGGAACCATGGGCCTGCTTAGAGTTCCGATCTGTTGAATTGATGCCGGTTGGCTTGGTGTCCAAGGGGTCATAACATGGCCAAGATCCAATCCTGGCACAAGCTGTCAAAGCTGTCAAGGGCTCATCGTAGATAAAAGGCGAAACAACTTGCGAAAGCGGGGCTATGTCAGCTATGTCTTGCTGTCAGCTGTAACGAGCATTGGAAGTACTTTTCTGAAAGTTCTGAAACCAAAAGGCTGTACCAACGAGCGCCCACAGAGCTGTCCGTGGCACTGGTGGTCTTCATCGTGGTCGCTGTGGCCGCGAAAGGTTCAGGCACAAAATCTGGGCGCTTGAAGGTTTGAATTCATTGAGTGCATCCGACTGTCCGAATGGATCGAGAAATCCCAATCGACTTCTATCCCTCACGGTGTGGGTGTCAAGTATCCCTCTCCACATGGTGAGCTTGTCTTGGAAGTGGGGAGGGAAACACAAATCGGTTGCGAGAGCCTTAGATTGACGTGACATAGTGAAGATGAAGTACAAGGAAGGCAACCAATTTAGTTCTCAAGAAGCACACTTTCGGGAGGTTAAAGGATGCCGCGTTGTAGCTTTGCCAGTGCGGCCAGATACACGGCCAAAAAGGAGGGGGGGGGTGGGGTGGGGTGAAACCCGGTCTCTCCCATCTCTCCAGCGCTCTCCAGCTCTCGCGTTCTTTAAATGGTCTTTTGCAAAGGCTAGGGGGTCAGGGGGAAGGGGTCTGAGGGTCGCGGATGACGCCGTCCACTTTCTTGAGACACTCTGTTGAAATTTCGCACAGCAACATAGCCGCCGGAGGCCACAATCCCAACGCTGTGGATGTCGGGGGCCCGTCGAATTCTGCGAGGGTGGCCCCTCGGACAACACAAAGTGACTTGCGACTAAAATGGTCAAATTTCTGTTACATTGCATATGGCACTACCTGCTGAGCTGATGGTTTTTATGTGGGATTTTCTGATTGTTCCAATCCTCCTGCGGGCTTCTAAACCTCCCTGAGATGATAGGCGTTAAAGGCCCATAGGGAAGAGTGTGTTCGTTTCGTTCCCGGAACCCGAAAGACCACTTTCCGCAGCGGCTGCAATGTGCCTCAGGCCTCTAACCTCCAACCCCCCTAAACTGCCCTCCCCAGCCCCTCCCCGCTGAGCTCCTCCGGCCACATCCTGCCCTGGGTTCTTTGGTGTTTGAGTCGTGCGGTGCAGTCCCCGTTTCGAGCGGCTCCGCTCGGCTCAGTTTCGGTTCCACGACCTTGAAGTTCGAATGCGGGGAATGGAATGCCCGGAATGCCCAGGGTGGTCTCCTGACCCTCGCTTCCGCCTCCATGGGGGCGATCGCAAACATGCAGCTGGGCATCTTTTCGGGAGTTTACCCGTCTACAGCTTTGATCTCGAGTCGCGATGGCCATGGATTCTGAGCCCTGTTTGCCACTCAAAGTTGCCAAGGATTGTGGGCATATTGCTCGACAGTGCATGGCTTGGCTGGACTAGTGCAACTTGACTTTGCATGCTTTCAGGGGATATGCTGTGATCTCACCTATGGTGCAGGAAAGGTCCTTGTGAGTCTTCCGCTCTGGCAGCTTTGATGAGCAACATGTCTCGAGCAACAGGTTTTCGCAGTCACTTCAACATGTTCCCCCCAATGGTGTGAATCGTCTGTCAGAGCGCACATGCACTAGATCTTACACTGCCTCGGCACTGTCTCAGCTCAACCGGAAGCATGCTAAGGGACTTGACTACACCCTTGGACCCTTTGGGGCCCCCCTGTAGGCCCTAAACCCCATAAACTGACAACGCAGGTCTTAGCAGCTGGTGCGGTAGCTGGTCTGCTTGGCTTCGCTATCTTTGCACCTCGGGGAAAGTTCGGGACGATGTTGCTGTGTGCCACCCGAAACCACCCGAGACTCAAGGCTCTCCGAACAGCTACAGGGGGATAAGTATGTATTTCTAAGTCTTCGTCAACAGCCTTTAATGATTTTTAAATGAATCTCAGCTGTTTAGTGTTTAGCCAGTTTAGCCTGAGGCCTATTTTAGGGTCTGCCAGCATGGATGCCCAAAAGGACCGCAAAGACGTGTCGCACAGGACTCTGGCATGGGAAGACGGAAGAGCATGCATCATCGCAAAAGTGAAAGTTTCGTCGCGCCACAGCATGGCAATTAGGATAGGAGAGCGCTCGCCTTAATTCTAACCTGATGTTGCACTGCAAGCCCGACACCTGTGACGCTCTGCACCGACTCTTAACCATTCTCGCTTGGAATTGAGGCTGCGACCATCCGAACACAGCCGATCTCACCTGAGCCCTGACCGGAAAGCTGGCATTTCACTCGGCTGTTCTCGATCCAGGATGGTTGATGGCGCATGTTTCTCGGATCTCGCTTTGGTTTGGCTAGTCGGTATGTACATCGACCGGCCAGCCTGCAAACAGAAGCTTGTGCCAGGGCTTGTGTTAGATTAGCTGCAGTGTCGGTTCCTCGGTTCCTCGACACTGCGCTGACAGTCAGGGGCACACCGCGGCTGAGATCCGTCGTGAAACAGATTTTCGCAGCAGTTGTGGAAGCCATGGAGGTTTTATAGACATGAAGCTCTTGCAACAGATCACGCAGAACTAGAAGCGGACCAATTGCCCACGCCGGGAAGATAGTTACTTGAAGACAGTTCCGAGCCGCAATGCTAAGGCTGTGAACTTAGACTTCGCCTATTCTGAAAGATCTTCGGCCTGTCTGAGACTTCTGACGATCTCGCTTTTTGCCGCTGCGCAGGTCAAGAACGAGGAGGAGCTGTTGCAGATCGCCGGGCACCAAGCAACATTCGCCGCAACAACTTCAGAACCTCTGAAGTTGCAGATGCTGTTACCAGGGACTGCGCTGTGTTCCATGAAGCCATCAAAAACCATGTTGCAGAGCAGAATGGCACAGAAGTAGCAGCAGCCGCCCCCGTCTGCCAGCGGAGGCGACCAACCTGGAAGGCCACCCAGACAACGCCGTGCCCTCGTACTCGGGGCATTTCTGCAAGACTTGGGCGGAGCTTTGGGAAGCCTTGTTATGAACGCCTTGCGTTGCCCCGTGCGCGCCTTTGATGCTTCGCTTCCGAAATTTGTCTGTTTGCGAAGTATGTCTGCGAGTGTGCGTGTGCGTGTTTCTGACTGCTGGCGTGCGTTCTTGCGCCCAGGTCGCACCCTGCATCTATGGCGGCTTCCAGCTTGGTATCCACAACGGCAAGCGCTGGTGGCGCCCTCAGAGGTTACAAGAAGTGAAAGGAGGCAACAAACAACGCCCCCAAGGCTCCATCAAGATTCCTGCAATGAGAGATACAGAAGAGAGGTCAATAAGTCGCCCTAATCGGGTGAAAGACGTGTTGCACCGCGTTGCGCACGTTGCGCGCTTGAAGACTTCTGCCCAGGTGGACAGACCGCGTCACGATGCCGCACGGGCTGATGTGCGTTGTTTTCTGCCCAGACCACGCGCCGCTGGCCCAGGTTTTCCCGGTAGTCCTGCGTGTGCGCGAGTTGAGGTTGCATTATAGGAGTTCACGGAGTTCACAGGGTCTGGTAGATTTTTCCATCCGTTCCGACGGCACGAAGATTCCCAGCCGGCGGAGCCATCAGAAGAGCGGTTACGGAACGAGTCAGGCACCTTAGTGAGGCACTACAGGCTAGCTGTGTCTTCCAGATAATTTCTGCGTAGCGTGCTGATGTCACGGGTCTACGAACCCATCAGGAGTTCACAATCAGGTCTACAGATCTGCGCACATGCATTAGGTGGATCTTTGTATCAACCACAGCATTCTTCACAGGCTTATGAATGCAAATCCATGTCTGCTGCACTCCGAAGCTATACTTTCCTTCATCTTCCTTCCTGGACCCTAAACCCTAAAATCTTAAAATCCCTAAACCCAAAATCCCTAAAAGCCTGATTCCCTCTTTTAAGGACCGAGACGAGTGAGGCGCGGCTGCTGTTGAAGGAGGAGATCGCCATCAAGGCGCGCAGGGGAACCCCTTAACTTATGCCGCAAATTTGATGATATGTATATATATATAAATATATTTGTATATAAGTATTCATATATAAATATACATATTGATATAATATATATATATATATATGTGTAATTGTGTCAGCCTCCGCAATGCTTTTCCGGTGTCAAGGTTCCCTGCAGGTCCGCTTATAGGGACGCACATGGAATGCCACCTGAGGATGCCATCTTCAATTGTGGGCGCGTCGCGGTCCTTGCCGGCGGCCCGGAGTGAGCGCCTGTTATGACTCTGTCCCCCGTCCCATCTTAAGCTTCAGGGCATTTGTCAAGAAATACCTTGAAAACGCTGCACGCTCGAGGTGGCCGCGTTCGCCACCGGCAACATGGACTGGCTTCGACATGGCACTGAGGCATCGCGGGGGAAAGGTCCCCCAAGCCCGACTCTTGAGCTGAGCCTCATTACAGGAAACCTTACGAATTGTCATCTTTCGTGCCGCTGGCCGGCGCCTTTGTTTTTTGGCACAGCCCTGCATCTACTATAGGCATCAATAGACTCCATACACTAACAAGACATTCTATACACACCTGCCCGAAGCTGATAATGGCTCGCTCGAACTCAAGGACGGCCCGCTGGCTTGAAGGGACTCCTTGAATGAAAGTTCGGGGGAGAATAAGGGTTTACACGAGGCAATTTGAAGCTGACTATCTCTGAAGGGTCCTCCTCGCAAGGATGCTCTTCATCAAGAGCAGCGTGCGCAAGGCCCCCAGAGCACTCTCACATCCCAGAGCTCACTTAGTCCTTCACGCAGGTCCGCGCGTATGCTGTGCACATTGTTGTGTGGGGAGACGACTCCTCTTTTTTGTAGCACATGCAGCAATCAAATTTTAGTCGTTGTTCGATCCACCACAACATATCTCTGCTGCTGAGAAGGAAGAGAGAGCGCCTTTCCGCTCCTTCTGAGGCCCATCCATCCTCATCTTAAGCCCCTGATTCGAGCTGCCCTCGATGCCGGAGCACACGGAGCGTCCGGGGCCTCTGCACACAAGATACACTCTCAAGCACCCAATGCAACATGGAAGAAAGCCCATTGGTTGTCAATAAGTCAAAGTGCGCCTGAATGGCACCAGGATGGCACGCAGCGCCCCCGCATAATCAAGTCGTTCGCAGCTCTTGGTGATCACCATTGCCAACCGCACGGCGCACCACAGCAGCTCTTCTGAGTTCTATTGGGGTGGAACTGCTGCTTGGGCTCGCCTCGATGGCAGATTCGTCTCATGCACAATAGCAGGACTCAGGAGTGACTCACGTGCTTAGCCGAGCCGGGGCCGCACTGCGACCTTCAGTATTTGGCCTGTGGGTATTCCAACGGTAGGAATGCTAGGCACACGGGCGCATACAAGAAGAGCTGCTCACATTCACCTCCCCTTGCCCGTCAAAGAAGGGCACCGGAGAGGGCACATGGGAAATAGCACAGAGGAACATCATAGCACAAGTACAGAATGAACACTCTTCGGAAATTCCTTCGAAAGAGGGTACACAACATGAACCCTTCTTGTCAGCAGAGTTTCAACCACTTACTACTCAGTTGCGTAGCATCTGCATCTCAGCGCCATTCGCATGGCCGAAGCACGGCACCGGCGGGATGGAGCCTTGGCCGGCATAAAAAAGGGGCGGTGATTTTACTGACGCTCGTAGAGACACACAAAAAGAGACACCGAACTATGCTTGAGGCTGAGAGAGGGTGCTTGTTTTCAAGGGTTCAGGGGGAGAAAGAAGGGTCTCTGGATTCTGTAGTGCTCAGAGAGAATTGTGTCGGACTCCTCTGTTGAGGGGGTTGTTGGCCGCATGATGTTCCTGAACAATAGATCGCAGTCGACCTTCGTACTCATGTGCCTACACCTACTTTCGGTGATTGTCTTTGAAATTGGCAGCTGGCCGGGCGATCTACAAGAGTTGTCGCAAGAAGTGTTTAGGGGTTTAAGCTAGGGGGTCTAGGGCCTTTAAAGGGGTTTACAGGGGGTCACATGAGAGAGTCCTCTCGAAAAATGCCGAGAGGGGGAGTCCAATGAGCCTTCTCTCAAGGCGAGCGCCGGCGACACAAGCGGCGCCGAAATCGCAGCCAGGACCCTCAGAGGTCGTTTCTGAGATTTGGGCGTATCCGGGGTGGCCCCTTCAAGACCCAGAGGTTTGCAAGGAAGAAGCCATTAAAGAATATGTCTGTATACAAAAAATATAATATATATATATATATATATATATTAATATGCATAGATGTATGTATACGTATGGAAGTAACATGACGTGCAGTAAGCCGATGCCTGTAAAAGCGGAGTCTGCCCCCGTTCGGAGTTTCTCAAAGAAAACTCTATATGCCCCAGATCGTCTTCATTTGTTGCAGATGTCTGTCAGTTTCCAAGAAAGTTCACCGGCCGCGCTTGTCTTGGAGAAGGTCGAAGCCTTGCCTCACGATACGGCTTGCCTGCCCAGGCCCTGGCAGTGGGAGCCAAGAGCAGCTCGGCAGGAAAGTGGGCCAAAGTGGCAAGCGAGGAGTGCGATTCGTTGCTCATCACCAGCTGAAGATGGTTTGGATTGTCAGCTTTGAGAGCTGGATTGTTTTCATGAACCCCGATACCGGAAGCAACAAAGGGAAACGACAAAGGATGCGTGGTTGTACTTGGCAACATGAAGGCTATGACCATGGCACTAGAGCGAATACTATCATTACCACTTAAAGACAACATGCATATTTGCACATACATATATATATATATATATATATTTCATGTCACCGCCAGGCCTGTGGAGCGTCCCGAGCGCCTCTTGGCAGAGCTGGGATTGGCAAAGGAAAACCCGAGCACAAACCGACACACGGCATAGAGAAGCATCAGGACATCATCCGGCCTTCCCCTTGAGCCTCCTTGTAAGGCTCCCATGGTCGACGAGAGAGGTGGGCAGCCCTGGGCAGCACATGTAAGACATGGCAAAAACTCCTGGTAACATGCGTGAAACGCACGCAAGACTTGTAAGGTGATGATGCAGGAACCATAGGGGAGATGTGGTGGAAGTCATTGGCTTCACTCGGCTAGCAGTTGACAAGCTGACAGCAGCACAAACCCGTCAGCGTTTTCTTGGCAAGCGCTTGAGTCGTAATTCCCGACTCTGCTTGCAAACAGCTCTGGGTCAGCTCATAGTTTCCTTTAGCTCAAGACGGATTCGGGTCGCTCGATGCAATGTGATTTGCAGGCGGCGGCGACGGCGGCGTAGCAGCGAGAGCAGTGGGGGTGAGAGGCAAGGCCGAGCAAGTCTGGCGGATGCTTTGCGGGTCACATGTGTCGGCATCAACGGAATGGGCATCTTGGGTCGGTGTGTATGTTCACCCACTGCAAATAATCAGGTTTCCACGAAGGCAGCACGAAGCGCAGCCTTCCGCCATACGGTCCACATAGTTTTGGGTAAGTCCGGCCTATGGGCCTTCATGTGCCTTCATGTTTGGTGAGGCGCCGCTCCCCCCCCAGATGCCGAGACGGAGGAGATGCCGCAACAGCCACAACACGCAGTCAACACCTGGTTCGCACGCTTCTTCTGGCTCTGCAGGTCGGTACCTGGTTCTGTTAGGCTGGTCATTTTTCATTTTTCCCGCCAGGACCACCCCATATCTCCGCAGAGCCTGGACAGCAGCTGGGTGATGCAGGCACGGGCTTAAGAGGAGTCATGAGGAAGCTGTTTGTCGTCAGGCCCGCGGTAAGGCGGAGGTTTTATTTGCACGGCGAAAAGATGATAACCCACACATGACGCGGCGGTAATTCTGCTCGCAGGAAGTTAGACGATGGGCATGTGAAGGCACGACATCAATCGCATGATGAGAATCGGCAGATGTTGCACAGAGTTTTTCTCAGCTAGGCACATGCCCGGAGCATGAATGGGCACCGGCATGTGTTCTTTTGCTAGAATTCTGCACCATGCCAGCCGCCGCCCAACACTTGCACACCAGTAGCCCGAACGTTTATGAAGCCCATAGAATGTCTTTTTGACGTTTGCAGCGTCGTCTCAGGCCGCTTTGTCGTCCAGCGCGCTTTGGGGGATGGTGCTTCCGGGCGTGTCCTGCGCAGCTCAGAGCAGAGTTGGTACAGTCTCCTGCGTTCCAGCGTGTCACTGTTTCGAAGATGTGTGGTGGCCACTGTTGACCCCCCACATGGCCATGTCATGCCGTGTCATACCGTGCCGCTGCTAAGGCTGCCGCGACGAGGTCGAGGGCACCGTGGTGGCGGTGACACCGAGTTGCGCTTCAGAGAATCCGGGAACATATAACCTAAAACCCGAAACCCTGTAGGCGGGCGGCAAAGGAAACCCAGATGAGCAGGACGTACGAGTTGCATCGTTTCTTGGGTATACTTCATGGCGCCTCAGGAAGGTGTCCCGGCCTTCCAGACGGACCAGGAGGACAGGGTTGTTACGGAGATCTTTTCTGCACTGCTAGTTCAGTTCGACTTGTCTTCGAACCAGCTCAAGCCCCGCATGGCCATATCGTAATCTCCTGATGTTGAGGTGGGTTATACCTAGCACGGCCGTCCGTTTGGATGTTCGCGGGCCCTGGTCATGGTCATGGGACTCCCTGTTGTCAATCATTGGCAGGCACGCCGAAACGGAGGTCACCATGCTCCGGAAACTCCAGACACTTGGAAGCCATCAATCGGGAACACGTAACAAATTGCATACGATGGGTGGTGTTGCCTACGTTCTTCGTGTGGCTTCCTCATGTTCCTCAAGTGTGTCAGCTCCAAAACGGACCTCATTCAAATACCTAATGCTTTTCATAAAATCTATAAGTCTTCTAGCCTTAGCTTAAGACCACTGGCCCTTAAGACATCTGCGAGTTCGCGAGGGCCTTGGCCACTCCTCAAAAGCCAACCTCACGCAGCTAGCAGCACGGTTCCCTCAAGCCATGCAAAGATCATCTGGACCAAGCCTTGGAGTGTACCATAGGGGGCTCCAGGAATAATACTTGTGAGCGTCTGGGAGTCTGCACTCCGTGCCATGGCTTGAAGGAAAAACAAAGTCGTGACCTAGAGCTGATTTTTTTCTTCTGGGGTTCCACTCTGAGTCTGGAGCCTTGAAACCCCTTCATACAATGAATAAGCCCCTCCAAAGAGACTATTGGCAGGGGGCCTTCAAATCACTGAGATGTGAGGGGTGGGTTTGAGCGACCCTAAAATTCTAAACCAAAAAGCTCATCTAAATTCAGTTGAAGTTCAAGAAGCACTGCTGCGTTCGACTTTCGGGCTACACTTCCCAGCCCCGAAGCCCCCTAATACTGTAAAAGAAATTCGGATGAACCTTGTACGTTTACGTGGTCTCAGTCTATGCATACTTGCCACAAAGCGGCCTGAAAGAGGAAGCACGATCCAGAACTAGCACGGAGACATGTGGTACGCCTCCTGGACACCTTCGTACATGCTCCCTGGCCGAAATGGTCCAGCAACCGGCAGGATTTTTTGAGGGGTAGAGTCCATACTCGGTCGAAGTGGCTCTTCATCTGAGGAGGAGGATTTCTATTGCATTGTCATGGAGCCGCTGGCCATGAGCCTGCGAAATCTCCTCCAGGACATTGGGCGTGTCTTCAGAACAATCTTCGGTGAGTCAAGGGCCCATTAGGGTTTAGGGTTTAGGGTTTAGGGTTTAGGGTAAAGGGGGTGATTGAAAAAACACACATCCCAGGAGGGCAGCTCCGGCGGGCTTTTCATGGCAACTCGCACCGCAAAACTCTTCTCTCGTGGTGTTCCGATTCCTGCTCCTCTTAGATCTGTCACACACTTTGCATTGTCATGCTTTATGCATTGAAGAAGAGCAGCCACGGTATGCACTAGTGAGAGGGTTGCACAGGTTGTGGTTGTCAAGATTTCTTGCTTTTTGTTGGCCCTTCCCAAGAATCATCCGTGTACCTGTGTGCCTCCGGCCCATCTCCAACATATTCACGAAGTGGCAAAGATTCTGGAAACGTTTTTTTTTCATCAGTTCCTTGCTTTAGGCTGTCTTTCAGACAGCTATGAAAATGCAACGCAAAGCCGAGTGCTAACAGCCGAGGCTGACATCCGCCTTGCGGCGTTTCAGCTCACCAACTGTCTCGACTTCTTCCAGAGCATGCGGATGGCACATGGAGATCTCAAGCCGCTGGGTGTTTGATGGCGTTTGGCCTTTTGTGTGGGCTGAATCTGTTCTTGTTTGGCCCCACCTCAAAAAAAGACAAGTCGATCCCATCGCATCGGCAACTTGGGAACGAGACAGCCACAGATGCCAGGTGCACAAATGTGATGCTTCGCCGGCCGGATTTCAGTCTTCAGCCGCACCCTAGGCAAAGCGATCCTGACGAGGCGCATGGTGTGCGGCAAGCGCATATCAAGGATGACATAGCAGACCACTAAACTTTTGACCAAGCTTGGCAGATCTCGGACAGAAGTCCTCGCACAATGACCATCGCTTATCTCACTGAAAGCACCGTTTCACACCGCTATGATTCCTATTCCCACTTCGATGCCGTGAAAATCTTGGAAGGTTGCAGCGAGGCCGCTTTGGCCTTTCGAGGCCAGCGCCCTGCACACGCATTGATGGCTGTGTGACATAGTCCCAAGCCATTTTCAACGAGCCCTTCAGAATTCCACCCAATTTGTCCCGGAGCATCCGCAGCATCGTTACCGTCGAGCCCCTTTGACTCGACTGCCAAGAGTGTCCCCACCCGTAATCCGTGAGTGCTCGAGCCCGAGCCCCGAGCCATAGACTATGTAGACGGAGACGGGCAGGGCTCATGGCCGCCCTTCAGGACTCTTCGGCAATCTTGTTTGCAGAGTGTTTGTGTGGAATTGCGTCGTGCGGATCTGATATCGAGTTGGGGACAGGAAGGGCACCACCCTCAACTCCACCCTATGTGGGTGGTATCCATGCAAGATCTCTTGCAGATGCGCGGCGTCCCTCCCAGCCACCAGGAGCTCAGGGATGCAGGCTGACAATCTGCTCTCTTTCAGTTGGGAATTGCCTCAAATTCATGATGTCTCCCTTGAGCCTTGAGCACCTCTCTCTCTTTCTTCTCTTTCTATAGAATGAATAAGGCTGCCCTCGTCATGCGCAGGCTTGCTTGTCCAGTGCGAGCCTTCTTTCCACTCGGTTTTCGTCTCCCACCAATGGCTGGGCAAGAACCATCCCGATGAGAAGGGAAGCCGCTCACCTGCACCAAGCCAAGGCTATCACCCCTGATGGCTCTCGGCGTACTCTAAAGCAGCCTCTAGCAGGTCATAGAAGCCTCCGTGAAGCTCAAAAGAACACCTGGTCTGGCAGGCCAGTTCCGTATCCTCCAGGAGGCGTTTCGGAACATCATCGATGGTCGCATAGACGTCGAGCTGGACACTGCTGCTGTCTGCCTTGCAGCTTTAGGATGTCTACCAGTAGGATTGCCCTTAACATCTTTGCAGATCTTCAGATCCTTTGCAGATTGCAGGACGTCCCCTTGCAGTGGACTGGCTACAACCGGTCTCTGTCGCTTGAGGACCGCGAGGAGCTCAAAGGCGCCTACGTTTGGCTCGATTGGTTCTCGATACCGCAGATCGAACTCAAGGACATGCAAGCTGACATGCAGCCCCCCCCCCCCCCCCCCCAAACAGCTAAGAGAGCTCCCCCCCCCTACTGAACCCTACGTTAGCTCCTTAAGCAGCCTCCCCTTATAATATGCAGGTAAAAAAATGCACACCAGGAGCAGGGCCTCGAAGAGCGAATGAGGAGCGACGTGTTCATGGCCGTCCAGTCCATCCCCTTCTACGTCGAGACCTGCAATCTCTTTGTTGCCTTGGTCCCTCCGCTTCAGCATAATGACCTCCACACCGAGTGCAACTATTGCACCTGGCTGAGCAGGAGTGGTCTATTCTCAGGGGCTTGAGCGCAAAAGCATGCCTCATCACGCATGTCGCACGCCGGCCCCCATGCAGCGCGGCCCCACGAGACCCCCACATGGACATCCATGGACATCCATGTGGGCAGTTCTCTGAATAATGGTTCCTTTGTCGGGTACCCTAAATAAGAGGGGCCGCCTTATCCGAATGACCAAAAAAGGGACCAAATATTTTTGAGAAGTGACGATCTGCACTTATGATCATTTGCCTTGCTGCACACCGTTGCTTTGCTTGCCAGGGGCTGGTGCCGCCTCGAGATTTGGTGCAACCTCCTTTCTCATCGCAAGGAGGCCCCCTTTGTGGTGATCCAGGACTCCGACCACGCTGAGTACCTGGGGTCTGTGACAGCAGGGACAATTTGTCACATAACGGAACCCGTTTTGTTTTCTTGTGTCAGATCTCTCCGCTCTCCACATCTTGTTGATGGATATGACTTCAGGGGCATTGCCCGCGGGCTTGACTTTTTTTCGAAGTGTCTTTCTCTAAGGTTCGCCATGCCCGTCCATTGGGTTCGGGAGAGCGCGCATGACGGCCACTTCACCGTGGAGTCCGACCGAGCCAGGGTGGCCGAGGTCCTGCACATTGCCTTTGAGTCCAAGCTCGCCAGCCTCAGCAAAGAGTCGCACCTTTTTCGGTACCTTCTCGCAGGAAAGAGCCGCCTTCTGGGGCTCAGGAGGAGCCCAGCAGTCAGCCTAGAGTCCTTCGTGGAGCACTTCGGCTTCGAGTCGATGGAGGAAGCGATTGCCCAGAAGACCGGGATGGTGGCCACGGCCTGCGCCGTGTTGACCGAAGACCTTGTGAGTCTTGAGAGATTGGCAGAAGCAAAGGCCGAGCTAAACCCTCAGTTGCCTGGGATCATGGAGGTGGGCCTCACCCGGGGATGGACGCCACTGCACTTGGCTCTCAGCCACTGCAGCCATGGCAGGGGCACACGTGCAGCAGAGAGGCTCCTGAGCCTCAGGGCCGATCCCAACTCCTGCAACCGGGGAGGAATGCCAGCCCTCGGCTTCTGCACGAGTGTGGAAGCCGTGAACTTGATGCTGGAGAGCCGGGCCGAAGTGAATTTTTCAAGGGGCCCCGGAGGCCTCACGGCCCTTGCACTGTCCACGCTCTTATGTGCCCCAGCTGAGGTGGTTCAGCGCCTCCTGCAGGCAAGGGCCGACCCAAACGGCCGTGGCTGCGGCATCGGCCATGCAGCCCTCTCCACATTGGCCATCTCCGCAGATGGGAACCCGCACCTCCTTGAGCACGTCAAGGTGCTCCTCCAAGCCCGAGCGGACGTGAACCAAGGTGGACAAACCGGCGGGATCGTCTGGATATACGAGATCCTCTGCCGCCTCAAGGACACCTTGGGGTGCACCTTGGAGAGTTTGGGCATCAGCTTGGGCATCAACGGTGCACCCAGTTCACTCAGCGGTGCACTCACAGATCGACCTTTGGTGGAGCGGTTCACAGCAGAGGCGAGCTCCACGGCTCTGGGAGTTGCCTCGCTTCTGAGTCGTGAGAAGTTGGTGTGCCTATTGTTGAAAGCAAATGCCGACCCCAGCCTACCCAACAATCGTGGACATACACCACGAGACCTGACAAAGCGAGAGAGCATTCTTCATCTGATGCAAAAATCCCAGGCGCTGCGGACTACCTAGACGGCCGATTCCTGCGTTTGAAATGGATTTGAAATGGAGAGTGCAGAGTGCAGTTTAAATTTTTTCAGATTTCAGTCTAACCCAGGTCCGACCGGTGCCTGCTAATAGACATTTCGTTTCAATTTTTTCCTGCGGTCTGGGGCGAACGTCAGATCTTGCAGCGCTAACACCTGCTGCGAGAATTCTTGTGTCACTCACATTTTGGGGTGCCGGATCCTAGCCTCTTAGATATCCATGTGCTGTGTGAGTCCTTGGGCAACTGGCGGTCTCGACGGGTCTACACTTTTCTCCATATGGTGTGGCAGTGTGGCAGTTGATCCGCTCTCCAACACAGATCTCCGTTTCAGAGCTGCCGGTCTTGGGCACTTTGCTGGAGTGTGTATAGCTTGCACGCCATCTATACACCTTTCTCAGAGGAAGAAAAACCTAGAAAAGTCCTGGAGGGCGCAGTGAGGGCCCACACAGCGGCTCCAAGTGAGGGCCCCCACAGCGGCTCCAAGTACTATAGGAGGCTGTACTATTCAGTGGCTGCAGAGAAGCTCTTAAGAGCCCAGGCCTGTAATTGAAGTTGGGAGCATCTTCTGTCGGACTTGTTTGCCAGCCTTGCGCAGGTAGTGGTTATCGACTTTGGCCTAGCGAACGTCTTCGAGGACGCAGGCTCCGTGCACCATTTTGCGATGTAGCGCTGGCATGTGACACAAAGTCTTCCGTTGAGCCATCCTTTGAACAGGCTCAGGCGAAGCTTTCCTCTTTGGACATGAAGAAGGCGAGACACGTGGAACGCCCCTTCCCCTCTCCCCGTCATACACCCCCACTCACTACCTCATTACAAGTTGTCAAGTTGTTGTTTGGCTTGCCTTCAGCAACTAGAGGAAGGTCCTAGCCGGTGCAAGATTGGGTTACTGCATGTTACAGCAGCCTCTTCCGGACTCTTAAAGTCTTCAGTCATATTTGCCCATGTCGCACCCCAGAAGCCAGCAAAGCGTTTGCAATTTGTCAGTGTTGCCCGGTAGCTGCAGAGCGCTGCTGCGCCGTGCTAGAGTAATTGGAGTGCCGCCATGGCGCGAGAAGATGCTGGCTGAGGGATGAACAGGTTTCAGCAGTCCACTCGGATCCGCTAAGATCTGGAGTATTCCTCAAGGTCTTTCGGTCCAACTTAGAAAATGGAGGGGTATATGCTTTGGCTGCGAGCTTGATGACTTGACAGGATGTGGCACTGGGGGCATGCTGCGGGATGTGACAGTTGCAGGCGATCGCCGTCGACTTCGTGTTGGTGCACGCCACATCCGAGCACCCGAGGCCCTCTGTTCGCTGGTGAGTCTGCAGAGGGATCTTGAGAGCAATTTGGAGCTCTCTTGATAGCCAAGGACCCTTGTGTGTGATACAGTTCATGGACAGGCAGCTTCCATGTCCATGTGCTACGCTCACCATTGCGTCCAGGTGATCTTGGGCTTGGATCGAGGCCCCTGTCCGCTGCTGCAGTGCAAGTGCGCAGGTTCACGCGTGGGCGATCTTGTCTTCAAGTCTCCACGGCCACCGGAAAAACTTGCAAACATGTCGCTACGGTGCGAAGGCAATTAAACAACCAAAGTCAATTCAGTTCTATACTTGTGCGATCTTGTGTGTGGAGTCTTGCCATGACAAAGAGCCACACTTCGGCCAGTAGCCCCTTTGCAGGGAGCAGCCTGCACGATTGGGGAGCGTAGCGCAGTGAATGCGCAGCGCTATGTAACCAGTAGAGAGCATGGGGCCGGTGAGATTGACAAAGCTCTTTTCGGATTGCGGTGTCGATGTCAGAGGAAAAGCCCAAAGGAGCCTTATAGATTGGTTCTGAATGTGTGTTTGCCCCTTCTCCCATTTCGGTGGATTTGGGTGCGACAGGCTGCGTCGCGGACATGTGGAGCTTGGGCTGCTTGCTCTACACGCTCCCGGGATGCAATGATGTATGGGGGTTTGCGATGTGAGGGGGTACCTAATTGGGGCGTCTCGGCAATGATGGCCATGTAACCCGAATGCAGCCGAGTAAGAACAGATCTTTTTTGAGTCTCTACGAAGCTTCCGGCTGTTCGCTTGGCCTCTGAAACAACTGCGAGAGCCTAGCAGCCTATCGTGACCTCAAGATAAAGTCTTCGTTGAGGCTCTACACTGGCGAGCGTCTCTTCCCGGCCGCTCGGGGCATGTTTGGGCCAGTCTCCAGTTTGCTTGCTATCCCGTTAGGGCTTTGGAGGTCGGGGTTGGAAGTAGCATCTGAACTTAAGCCTGTCTAACATGACCGATGTTGCGTCGAGACTACTGCTCCTTGGACTCTCTTCGCACGGAGTACTGTCCCAGGTGCATGATGAGATGGCGCACCTGGCAGCCATTGAGCCACCAAGCCTGGATTTGGTTTTGCCTAAGACAGGAAGTGAGCCTCGGACCCCCACCCCCTCCTCCCCCCCCCCGCCCTCGGGAAACTGGACGCTTCAAACATTTGGGAGAGCCTTTGAGGGGGCAGGTTACCTTTGCTGCGACACTTTGCACCGCAATAACCAGCACCTGGGGTGATAAAATCGATGCCGAAGTCCAGGCTCAACTTCTGAAAACGTCGTTTGGATTATCGAGGTGTGAGGAAGTTCTCGCGGTGTTTCTGTCTATGCACCCCGTAAATATGGCTGGCAAACAAAGATGCAAAGTTTTGCGACTGGCCTTGATCGCTTCAAAGGCACATCACCGAGCTGCGGGTGCCGCGTGCGATGACCAGCCATGTGGCAGAGCGTTCCTGGGCTGGGGTTTCTGATCCAACAACCCGAAAAGAAACTGGGACTTCATGCTTCGTTGCTGCATGTTGCTGTCCCGAGAGTCCGCGCACCTCTGCCGGCTTGCATGGAAGTGAGCTCCAAACTTTGGAATCCTGAAGATCACAAAGATGAAAAAAAGGTAGTCGATGCAAAACGTGCTGTGGGCTCACAATCAAAGGCCACTGCTGGAACAAGAGGCATCCATGATTGTACCATTGTACCATTCTTGACCCGCCAGAAATAGTTGGGCCTTTGTACCGTCGTCGTAGATCCGAGAATCATCGCTTTAGAAAGACACCCTCTGCGTGGCCTCCACTTATCTGCGACGTGGGATCTGAGGTATTCTGGAGAAAGGCGTGGCCTTCGCCGGGTGCTTGAAAGTGCCAGGGGTTGATAACGGATTAGGTGTATGGGAAGACTCTTCGGTGGCGGGGAAGGGGAGGAGGGCAGGTCACACATGCCAACTCATGGACTTACTCGGCGACAGTTGTCAACTGTAAAACGAACCAGACCTTTGCAACGTCCTGGTTTGTTACAAGCCCTGCTTGTTAACGTCCTGGGGTGTTTTTGGATATGCGATTTCTTGCCAAGCTTCCAAGGAATCAGACGGTCGGCTTGCTTGGCCGCAGTGTGCAGCTGATGAGGAGCAGGTGAAGTTCAGTGAAGCTGCGTAGGGAGGACCCTTGGATTTTCTCAAGCTAACATTTCCAAAGCTTCCTGTAAAAAGGTGAGTTTGGTATATGTCCTTCGTGGGGGCTTTGGCGTAAACCGCCCTGCGCTTTTTCGGTCGAAGTTTTCGCCCGTTGGCACCCCCATGAGGGGGTCTTTGGATCTCTGACCATTCGAACGTTCGAACTGCTTAGAGGTGCAGGAGATCGAAGACATGGCCACCCTCCCCGAGTGACTTGGCAGAGCCAAGCAAGGGGAGTGCCGAACAAGACCTTTTCGCTGCTCAGCACGTGCATCGTCTGCATTTTTCCTGTGCCTGGGGCAGGCCGCTGTTTCATCTGTCACAATTATGTAGGGCCGGCAAGGTCAGTGCTGACTCGGCACGACACTTTTCTATCCTTCCTACAAGGCCGGCGGCGTGTCGACAAAAATGCAAGTCCGGCTAGCAGCGGCTAGCAGCTTGGTACTCCAACCTGCTGTCAGGACTTCTGGAAATAGATCCCGGCCGCCGACTGACGGCCACAGCAGCACTGGAGCACCCCTTCCTGCACAAGGCATGGCGTCCACCCATGCCATCCATGTGGAGAGTTGTTGATGGTAGAGACATTCGACTCGACGAAGAGCGACAATTGCATGGTTCTTGACTTCGCACCCATGTAAGCCATGCATGCAGCTTGCCTGCAGGACGACCTCACGCAGTTCGACCGCACCGCCCTGAGACACGCGATCCAGTTGTGTGCACCTGTCGACAACTGCCATTTTGCACATATGTCCCTCCTCCAGCCTGACCTAGGCGATGAATGAGCCAGAAGAGCTGGCGCATCAGACCGCCCCTGACGGGGGAAAACCTCGCAACCCCCCCTTGCTTGCAAAAGCAGAATGCCGCACCGAACATGGGCAATGATTGCAGGTGGGTACAATAGCCGTTGTAAAAGAAAGAAAGAGGAATGGACATGAAGGCATGCAGATCGTGCTTCAGACCTGTCGAGAAGAGTCTCATCAGAATGGCTGGTGTTTGGCTTCCAACTTCAAACTCCGAAACAGCCCATGAGGTGCTTGTCAGGAGCGGGGCCCGCAGTCATCGCTTTCACCAGTGGTCGCGGCCCAAGAAGCGCAGAGAGAGGGAGGGTGCGGGCGGCTTGTAGCAGTTCTCATTCAGCAACGACATCAAGGCTTCCAAAAGATGAATTGAACTCCATGCAAATGCATGAAATCGACCTCCGCAAGACTGTGCCGCTTGACCGCTGGCCTTTCCTTCATGAGTGCGAATCGGTGTCGTCAATGACCAGAGCAGTAAAGAAGCTAGGAACTCACAGCTGTCGCAAAGAAAAAATTCTGAAACAGTCCTTTCACTTTGCGCGCCCAATGCCTTTGTTCCAGAAACACTTTACACCTTTTTTGGGGGATTATTGTCTCAGCAACTATAAGTCTCTCAAGGTCGATGTGGAGATGTCATTGCGCAGAATGCCTCGGAGCGCGAGGCCGGGCAGAAGCGTTAAGGCAGCTTCCGCACACTTGGCCCCTTCGGTTCCTTTTGCCGTTTTGGAAGTCAACTGCTAGGAACACCCCCTCCGCGTGGACAAAAACGGTTTTGAACCTCACCCAAAAGCTCAACCATTTTGTGCTCAGAAGTGACCCACAATTTCCCCTTCTCTGCTAGAGGAGTTCAATGTGGCAGAAGCTTTCCTGTCAGCTGCCGATTCTATCGGCTGCCGGTGTCCAAGAAGAAGAATTAGAGAAGGGCTAATTAAGGCTTTGCTAAGCACCAACGGGGAGCTTTTACATGAAGACCCCCGCCCAAAGAAAAAAAGAACATGGTCTGCATACCTCAAACATAGACTTTTAAGGTCCTGGGCACGTGCTCATCACGAAGCCGGTCGAGCCCGAGCCCCCGGAAGAACTCGGAAGCGTCGTCTCATCAATGCCGCTTCGGCACCAGGGTTTATCCTTGAGCTCCCTCCCTACCGCGATTGCGATGCGAGTACGCAACAAGTGAGATGAGAGCACTGCAAGAAACGGTTGTTGAAAGGGTCCCTGGCTTCAGCTTGCTTGGCTTTCTGATCAGGCTTTCCACAACAAATCGGAGACGAAACTTCCACATACTTCTCTTGTGCGCCCAGGCACGGCGGTTACATTGTGTCGGAAACAAAAGCAGGGACCCTGGAAGATTAAGCGACTCTGATAAAGCGCCTGATTCGTCCGCGCAATGCCAAGGTGTCGGACCCTGACAGCCGGCAAAGTCGTATCCATTATGCAGGGGCCGCATATCTTCAGAGCCGTGATGAGCTGTGTTGGAATGCAGCTGGTTAGGCAGTGCAGCAGTCACCGTGCAGATCTTGTGGGTGATGTGTTTCTTCGGCTGTGGTCGCTATTTCCAGCTGTGAATGAAGCTCACCTGAAAAGGGAAGCAAACAAGAATACAGCCACGAGGGCACACTTCGTCTCATGACCGTTGTGGAACGACTTAGGGCCATAATTCATGCATTCGGACACTGCAAGCCAGAACATGCCTTGACAGGGAGAACACCCACAAGCTCACGCCACAATTTTACTGGCATGGCTCACGACACCGGACGTATTGTCGTTCTATGCGGTCTTGCAGGTTCCGGCAAGACCTCCACTGCTAAGACGCTCAAGGAGCACGGGTGGATCTACTTCGAGGGTGATGTATGGTCCTGGGGCGACCCTGTCTCACAAGCAGAGGAGACCCCCACCCCTGAGATGATCGCCAAAGCACGCGAGAATGCCGAGAAAATGAAGGCCATCATGGCCATGGGGGCTGAGTTCTACGCCAGGGTCAATGCTGGCGAGGAGGGGAGCTATGAAGCTGCAAATGCCTTTTATGATCTGATGATGGCGGATGTGCTCAAGGTGAAGCACGAGAATCCAGGAAAGGACATTGTGGTGGTACATGCCATCAACCACAAGAAGATCCGTGATCACCTGTTTCAGTGCCTTGAGAAGGACGGATGCAACAAAGTCTCTATGGTCTGTCTTGATGTTCCTCACGACGCGCTCAAACGACGGAACCTGTACCGCCTTGAATCTCGAGCCAAGGCTGACGGTAAGACCCTTCAAAAGTTCATCATGGATTTCCCTGGTCACAACCTCCCTGCTGAGTACGAGGCTCGTTTGGAGCAGCTCACAAGCCCAGGTGTCCTTAAACTGGAGCCTCTCGGAGATGACGAGAAGAACGTCCACTTCATACACGTTTCGGGCGTGGAGGACCAAGCTGGCGTTGACAAGAAAGTGCTGGATGTGCTACGAATGAAGGAGCCCGAGTAGCTGCTGAACATTCCAGTGTCATTCCTAAGTGCTTAAGTACTTGAAGTCGCAAACATCCCAACAACTCCTTGTCAAACAACTTGGGCTCCAGCAGTAAAACAAGGAACGGTGTCTCTTTGCGATGTGAGCAGGGTCCGCCCCTTCGGCTGATCTAAGCAGGTCATTTCAGGGTGGAGTACTTTCCTCAACTCTGCGTGAGTGTGAGAAGCCTGAGAAGGATCCGTGGCTCTTGAGGCGGGTTTCCTGAGAAGGCTGTGTGAAGCTCATCAAGGAAACCGAGGAGGAACTTTTTGAGCATCTCTCATGTCACATGCGGCATGTGCCTGGTTCACACATTCCGAATGCTTGTGACGAAAAAGGAACGAAGCTTTGTGGCTCAGAATCCGCAGCCTTTCGTGTGTTTCTGCAATGAAGATGCTGGTGTTGTTCGCTGACTCCCCGCCTCATAACACCAGGACCAGCAACAACCACTCCTCTCCCCCTAGTGATGGCTGACCATGGGGCGAGGGAGATGATGCAGGTTTTGTAAGGATGAGGAGCAGGGTCGGTTCAGAGACGTATCAACTCCAGATCTGAGGGACTGGATGTGACTCTCGGAGGAGAGTTTTGTTGATTTCGGGGCGCCCATGTGGACACCACGATTTTAAGAGCGCTCCGACAAGTGACCTCGCTGTAAGGTTCAGGATTAAATCCTCTTGGGGAACCTCCGGTGCGGCCCAGTGGCTCGGCGGGGCAGGCAGGGAGAAGGGAAAATCAGTTGAGTTGGTCAAAGAGTGAAAGTGAGCCAATGGGCCAAGCTTCGTCAAAATTGTCGCTCAGGTAACGCCGTGCAAGGCCCTGCACTGACCCCTTCGTCTTCGCCTTCACACGGGCTTATCACACTAGCTGCCACTAGCTGGGCTGACCGGTCAAAGTTGCCGACGCCGCCCTCAGGGGCCCACACCTGTGGCAGAAAAAGCTTGAGAACCGAAATAAGAAGCATGACAAGGCCGCACTCCAATTTTGTTGTCTCGGCCACTTAGTATGACTGCTTGCAACTTTTTTTTTGGAGGCATGTGTGTTGGTTCCTGGCAATTCTAGCATATTCTAACCGCTAGGTGGGACCAAGGGTGATGCAAGTTGTGACTGCATCCTTTGAAAGAGCAGACCGTTGATTCAGATGGACTGGGAACTGTAGTAGACTCGATGTTTGCCCTGATGGCTCGCATTCCTTGCACGAAGGGACATGCGCCACTTGTGCCGTTGTCTTGGCTTTTCTTTCCGCACCGAAGGGTAGATCCTGATTTGAGGGCCTGTTCCCTTCTGAACTACCTTTTGCTCGTGTTGGATGGTTCCCTTTCAACAGGGGCAATCTCACAACACTATAAGTTCTTGCTTTTCCTGTTTAAAGCCCAACGGTCCGAAGGTTAAGGCGTCCAAGGACACAGTCAATACACGCTTTTCAGGGCCTGGGGCACCCAGTGTTCAGAAAGCAAGCCGTTTGCAAAGGTGCCCCGAAGAGGTCCCTTATAAGATGCTATTGGGGGGGGGGAAGCTGCTCCCGCAAGTGCTGACCGGCTCACACCTTCAGAGCTCTGAAGCCCTTGACAAGCCCGAACCCGACACCAGGGTCACCAGAAGCTTTGGCCTTCATCGTGGCCCCACTTGTGCACAAGCTTCAAGACATTGTCGCGAAGGCCTTCGGAATCTTCCTTCAACAAGTGCTATGCCAACTGAGGACCCCAAACAGTGTAAAAACAACAGGTACACGTGGCAAGCCCCATGACGAAATCAATGCTTGACTTGAATGGTCATTCCGAGCTGCGAAGCCCGCAGAAAATATCACAACAGAGCGCAAGGAAGCGTGATCTCTCGAAAATGGTTTTCGTTTGGTGCTTGTTCTCCTTCCTCAATCGCAGGTGCAGGAACCCATGCTTGGATGATGGGGCTCTCCATGGCTCTTCCAGTTTCTGCCCAAAGTTGGCAGCTCGCTAGGTCCACGTATGTCCACTCATGTCCACTCTAGGCGCTCCGCAACTGAGCATCGCACGCGAGTCAGGTGGAGATTTGAGCTATACTGAGAGAAGTCTGAGGTTGCCGAGAATCTTGGTGATACGGTGATACCAATAGCCAGTAGCGATGCCCACCCGAATCAGTATGTGTATCTATTGCCCGAGGGAGTCTGTGTTTTGTTGGCCGTTGTTTGCCGTGTTGCACTTTGGTCTCGCCGCATTTTCTGCCGCGCCATGCGACCCAGCCGCGCCCCACCAAAGCAGGAGGTGGTCTTGTGAGTTGTTGTGACTTGGGAAGCGAACGGGGTCTTGGGATCTTCAGGATGTCTTCAGGGGCCTTCAGGCGCGCGAATAAATGGTGGTTTAATGCCTTGATTTAAAGCACGTGGCTATGAGGGTTTGCTTGGTTTCGGAACGGCCCAGGGATATCACAGGTCTCACACGCAAGTTGTAATCCACAACCATGGACCATGACTGTAAATGTCGGCTGACATTAGGCACATGTCACGACGCGAAGGTTTCAGCTTGCCTGGTTTCCGACAGCGGGAGACATGGTTGAGGGAAGTGGCAAGCAACAACCGCGTGAGAGCAGGCGCAGAAAGCCAGGGCTTTGCCGGGATCTCGGTGTCAGGAAATGCCTTGGAATGGGGGTACCTCGTTGGCATTGATGGGTTTCCGCATGTCTTTGCCTTGGAGACATGTCATAAGACTGTCACCAAGGCCGAATCTGCAGAAGTCAGCATCTGTGCCCGCTGTTCAGAGGTGTCGGACCCCTTGTTAAGGATTTTGCACATCTTGTCGTTGCGCAGTAACGTTCTGCATGGACGTCATTAGCATAAGGGACGGTTGCTAGTTTGGTTGTTTGATGTTGTTTGCGGAGTTGCTTTGTGCAGGATGGGTTGTCCAATGGTTCTTGCAAACAGTACATTCCCTCCCCATGGCAGTTGCTCCCATTCATGCAGCTACAGGTGGCATGTAAGCATGATTCCCACAGAAAGACAGAGCAGAAACATGCGGCGCACTGCAATCAGCCTTTGTTTTCAGCGTGACATGTTTTGGAAAAGCTCCCCCTGGCATTGTCAGTGTCCATTCTCGGATTCAGTAAAAATGGAAAAGTCTTCTTTTCAGAGTCAGACCTGTCATGGTACAAAAAGAATTGGAGCTGTGGCTCGCAGCAGGCTGCTATGCATGACTGGAGCCGCTACGAGCATGAGTGTGTCCCATGCCCCCGCAGGCACGGCCAGCCCGTCCAAAGAGAGTTGGCGGCCCAGAGCAGAAAACTTTCGACTTGGTGGTATTCGAGAAATGCCAGAAATGCGCACAAGTGAGTCTGCGAGAGGCTGTCGATGCACCACTGATGTACCGAAGCTCTTCCTCACTGAGGGGCCAACAGCTTCCGCGGCTTCTGGGCAGCTCTTCTCAGCCAGCAGTTCCTTGGCGTCTTTGGCATTGAGGGTTGCGAGATGCCTGGAATCTTTCGGCCTGCGCAAGATTCACAGGAGCGGCAACGTGACTACTTTATAGACTGTGTCCCGTACGTTCTCTTCTATAGGGCTTGCGCAGCTCAAGAGGCTAGACTGCGAGAATAGAACTTCACGCAAATTCCAGTAACCCGAGTAAGCTCGTCCAGTGATTCTGTGGCAGGTGAGGGAAAGCAAAGACAAAGGCGACAAAGGCGAGCAGAAGCAGAAAGAGCGGAATGATCGGAATGCAGAGCGCGCGAAAGTGAAAGAGCCGAGGCGGGAGTGTGCTTGAGCGGCTGTTTAACAGTGCGTTGGGACCTGTCGGGACAGGTGCAAGTGGACCCCAGAGTTCCCAAAAAAAGGTTCATGGCAGATGACCCCCATGGCCACCATATCGTGCCTGTGAAGTTGATGTTCATTTCCTGGACATCTCAGAGAAACCATGAGAAGCCTAGGGCCTCCTAATGCTTTGGCTTCTGAGCTCCGGCCGATTGCAGAGAGCTCAAAGCACTCCATGAACTTAATGGGGGGATCGCAGCGAATCTGGAAACAGGGTGTATCCCTGCAGCGTTTGCGGTGCGCACATCTGCCCACTGCAAATTGCGATCCACTATCTCGCAGCATGGGGGAGCAGGCCAAACTGCCGCAGAGGCCCGGAGGATCTCGGAGGCGGTTGCTGACTCGTCTTGGGGAATTCGCCAGGGGAGAGGGGGGGGCTCAAGAAGGTTAGGAGTCGAGTGGAAATTCTTGGAGAGCGCTCCTCAGCTGTGCAATCAGTCTTTATGTCGTGCCCACGCGGGGGAGGGGGGAGCCCATCTCCGTGGCTCTCCTCACTCCATCTCCCTACGCTGGGCCATCTGAGAGCCCTTTGCGGGCCCTTGAAGCTTCAAGGGAATGTTCCAGAAATATCTTCTGCTCTAGCTGTCACAGTCTTGAAGGGACTGCTGTCCGCTGTCCGCTGCAAAAAAAGGAAACAGCAGTCCGTTTGCATATGTTTGCATGCCTCTCTGCTGTGGAGTAGGCGCCGGAGCCTTGCTACAGGCCATCAGAGAAGAAGTCGGATGCAAAGAAGTTGGACCACCCAAAGTTCCTTGCACGCAAGAACCCTATGTTAATCCAAGCTGCCGTCCCTAGCCAATGGATGCATTAGAGTCATAGTCATGGCTCTCTTCTCCGAATCACCCGGTGACTTGGAGTTAGTTAGATGATTGCGGCTCAGGCGTTTGCAAGCAGAATTGCGTACGTACAGTATTGTGTGTGCTAAGTTTATTCTGCTTCGGCAGGCTGAGCCCGTGCAGGGGTGCCTTTTACGGGGTTTCCGGACAAAACTTGTTCCAAACGATGCAAACGAAAGGAACCACTTGGGAAGCCTGTTTGTCATGTGCTTCTGGGGAAGGTCTGCCGTGGTGAAGCCAGAGGGTGACAAAGTCGAGGCCGGAATTCGCAGGTGCACTCCCTCCCCTCCCCCCATATAGCCACGACCGTTCACCGCATGATCTGCAAGTGGATTTTGAGTATCTTGGCAATTCTGGTGTTTCAGAACAATGCGTGCTGACAAGGCGAAAGCTGCAAAGGCCGACGGCAAGGCCAAGGAGGATGTCGAGGCAGATGTTGGAGTTGGGGGCATCGTGAGTCTTTGCACCAGCACAGGAGGTGCTTCTGGGATTCAGCTTCGGGATGGCAACCCCCCTTTTCGTGTGGGGGGGGGGGGGGGGGGGGAAGCTTGGTTTATTGAAGGCTTTCAGGAGATGCTACAGTCCAAGGAAGTGGCTCCTGGCGTGGCACAGGCATAGTGAAGAGACGTTGCCGCACCACTAGCAGCACGCGCGCGCACACGCCGCCGTGAGCAGATGAGGGAAGCATGGGGCAGTCATTGCGACTTCCTCGGGGTGCCCCTCACAACAAATTATCCCTCTTCCCCTCTTGGCACAGATCGTGGCTACGCGAGAAATGCGCCGCGAGCTGCTTGAGGTGCCAGCAACCACCCAGAAGTGTCTAACTGTCTAATGAGTCTAATGCTTAGTCTAAGGTTGTGGGTTTCGCAAGAGACTGTCCCCCATCTTGATTCTGGCTCAGCATGTTTCTCAAATCGGACGTCTCGGGTGTGGTGTGTGGTGCAGAGGTCTTGTCGAATCCGCAGATCCGCGAGATTGCAGCGAAGCTCGAGCCTTGGCGTTTCAGGCTCTGAAGCCTTCGCACTTCGCTACTGGATCTCCTTGTCGAAGAGGAATTCAGATCCCCTAAACCCTAAAACCTGAACCCTAAACCCTAAACCCTATAACCCTATAACCCTAACCTCATGAGAGGTACTACAACGCGCAGCTCCGCGGCAGCCGCGGGACGGGCCGCCTCGGCTTCCGCGAGCTGCGCCACGTGCTCCGGGCCAGCCGAATGGGGCTTGAGGGTTGAGGGTTGAGGCTTGAGGGGAATCGGGAAGAGAGAGACTTCGGAGATGAGAGATGAGAGATGAGATATGGGATATGAGATATGAGATATGAGTTGAGGCACATGAGAGAGATTATCAGGTTCTTCTGAATTGGCTCATCAGCCCTGGGGCTTGGCCGGGGCTGAACCTGCGAGCGACGCAGCTCTCGTTGGGGGTGTAAGATATATGGCAAATTTGAATGTCTAGTCTTTCGTAAATATTTATCATACCAATTAAAACATCTTTAAGAACACTCAATGTCGTACTGCAGGGTATACAGATTACAAGAGCCCGCAGCAGGCCTTGAACCAACACTTCGGGCTTCCCGTGCCGGCTGCACCCATGGCCCAGCGCTGAGAGCTCCCGGGCATTGACAGGACTCTGTTACAATGACGACTCATTCTTATAACACTCATGTTATCAGGATATCAGGAGGAGCGCTCTGGGTGATTGCATGTGGCATGCTCATTGTTGCCAAGGCCGAGCAACTCTTCAAACGCCTCTCGGCGACCATTGTGCACTGCAGCTGCACCATGTTTGTACCACGTTTGTACACTGCAACGGGGGGATACGTTTGACTCTGCACATGGACGTCCTCAGAGACTTTAGCGCAATGAAACTGAGAGAGGTGTGCCTTCTTTGAAACGATCCGCAAGATCCTGAAGAGCCTTATGGTGCCCTGACATCCTGAGCTGGTTGAGTTATAGCCACCCCCCCGCGCCTAGCTTGAAGATGTGAAGGAACGACCCGTGGAAAGTGCAGAAGTCGAAGAGTCCAGCACAGGCTATGACTTCAACGGAGACGGTGACCTGAGCTTCGAGGAGTTCTTCGAGCTCTTTGCAGGGAAGCCTAAGAGATCGCCCCGGCTCTTTGTATGTCACCGCAATTTTCCTGTATGGGGAATGCACTCTAGCCGTGGCCGATTGCAAAACGTCTCCCCTTCTGGAGGCCCCGCAAAACCCTAAACACGGGTGGGTGATGTGGATATACATACACTCACATATATATATATATACATATACATATATGTATAGATACGCATATGCCTATATATATATATATATGTATGTAGGTATGTGTGTACATGCTTTTACAACGATAGAACGACTTCAAAGCAGAAGCAGCTTGCCTTGCCTCTTCAGAGTGATCCGAGCCCTATCCGTTGAGAAATGAAAGGAGGCCTCCCTGCATCAACCAATGGGGAAGCCAAAAGAAGATCAAGCAGGGTTGAAAAGACCCTCGAGAGGCCGTCAAAGAACAGTCAAACCAGCGGTTTGCTGGACTTCCCTGGAGAACATCCCAGCAGGTCCTTACGACATCGGCTTGGGTTGGGTTTAGTAGGCTTAGTTGTGATGCGCCAGGTTTTGTAGAACTGGCATTTGCTTGCTCAGGTGACATCGCTTCGGCGTGTGGCTTTCGACAGGCGCCCTTCTCCTCTCCAGCTCTGTCTGATTGCGGGGCTTTGCCGGAAGACTGTTTGGGCTTTTGTGCACAGACCTAGCAGATGTGTTGTGTGTCTGACGAAGCCTACGCCGCACCGCCCTTGCAACAGAGGCCTCATTGACTCATGCGAGGACATCTGTATCCAAGCATCAAGTCATCGTGCTGAAACGACCCCGGCAACCTGCACCACGGCCTTGCAAGAAGCTGTTAAATAGCACCTAGGCACCAGCTTAGATCAAAGCCGAAAGGCCTTTTGTGTAAAACAAAACAGAGATGCACCCACAACCTTACCACGCGTGTAGGTCCGTGCTCCTTGGCCGTGAGATTTTCGTCACCCAGGAGCCTGGGAAGGCAGTGCTTCCCGGGGAAAGGTTTGCCGATAGTTGGCATTGGCAATGGCGACTTCTGACACTCTTGTCCCAGCACTTCTAGCTTGAGGGCATAGAGTCATAGACTGAGTCATAGAATACATGGTCGGCTTGAATGGTTTGTGTCGTGAAATAATTACGAACCCGACGATATACCACCACCACGGCTACAGAAGCCAGAACCACGAGCAAAGGCTGCTTTCTTCACGTCAGAGAGATCACCTTCTTCTTGCTTTTTGGCCCATGAAAGGTCTGGGATGTTTATCATCGAGCCGCGGACCCATCCTGCTGCAGATTGCAGGTCGAGCTCTGCCCGCCATGGTAGTTGCACAAGAGAGAAGAACTTGAACCCACGAGTAGTTGACGTTTCGTGTTCGGCGTCGCTGAGCCGTAGTTGAGGTGAAGACGCTCGGCGAGGGCTCGTTTGGCTGAGCCCTGAGCCACGTCTCCCGAAAGTCGTTTCAGGTGCTTTGGCTCTCGAGCCTACCAAAAATCCGCGCATGCTTTAGTCTAGGTCAACTGCGGAAGTTGGAGAAGAATCTGGATGACCCTATAGAGCAAAATGGCATGAGATGATGTGCCTACCCAGTATTGAGATGTGATCTATGAGACTCGCCAGTATCGTGTTCGCAGTCGGCTTGAGAGCTTCACAGGCTCCGCGCATCTGGGCAAGCACAAGAGGACGAAAGAGGCGCGCTTCGCTTTTTATTCTCCCCGCCCCCCCAAGCCTTGTGAAGTGTTTGGTCTCTTTTTGAGTTTCCGGTCGCTGGCTTTGTGTTTCTAACTCCTCACCCATTTCGCAGAGCAAAGCAGGGCAGATCTTCCTCGCTTGGATGAGGGAATTCCACCCCCAGCTGCCAGGACCGCGTCATCAAGGTCGTTGAGAAATCGCAGGCTTTGAGCTCAAGGGCAGCTCCTGGCAAACACAGAAGTTGGGGCTCTAGAGGTCCTTTTTAGGGCAGAAGGCTCTTTCGGAGCAGGCGAAGCTTCCGGTGGAGGACATCGAAAAGGAGATCATGGTCCTTCGGCAGTCTGACACCCAAGAGACGTTTCCGCACGTCAAGCCAAAGGGTTCAGCTTCCAACGATTCTTTCATACTTCTACGAGAGACAGCCGTAGAGTCTGGCGCAAACATGTGCAAACCTGTCTGTATAATCGGGGTTGAACTCGTTGCATCAGGGCACTATACCGTAGATCGTTGATCCGCCTCTGTTTCGGCATGCCTGTTCTTCCCAGCGCCTCTGGCTGCAGCCTTGAATCTTGATTTCTAGTGACATCGCTCCAGCTCCGCCGTCACGCCATGGCAGACCGCAAGGCCAGGCAGAGACGGAGGGGATGCATTTCAAGATGAACTCACGACAGAAGCAGCTTGCACCCGGAGCTTGGCTGCCGCAATCTTACAGAAAATATATGTGAAAATATGTTACTATATGTTACTCGCCTTTCTCGTCTGTTTAAATTTTGGGGCTTGCAAGTGAAAGGATTCAGGAATGCTGCAAGAGCGCTAGGGAACGTAGCCGCAGCTTGGTGATGCCTCGTCACCTCGTCTGAAATCTGCCTGGGAAGAATGTGCTATCATACACCAACTTGCCAGAAGGTTGGGCTTGCACATGATGGGAGTATGTTGATGGCAAAGTTAAGCCCCCACACCCCGTAGAAAAACCTCGCGGCGCCACCTTTTTCACTATGGGGAGGCAGTCATCAAGAACGCCGACATGGCTGAGGACTCTCCTCCTGCCACAAGCTCCGGAAAAGAGAACTAGCCTCAGGAGGTTTTAAAGCTTTGGAGCTGCCTCAGGACATGCAGCAGGATGCCATCGACTGCGCAACGCAGGCCTTGGAGAAGCTTCCTGGCAGAAAGCAAGGTCGAGTCATGGGCACTGACTCAAAAACGTCAGATAATCTGCAAACACAACTCGCGGCTCACGGTCCCGGATCTGCCTCGCTGCAGCCGTAGCCACTATGCACCATCCCTTCTCGTGTCTGAGGCAAATTTTATGCGAGGTTGGCTCGAATACTTTCGTATGCTGAGCTCGAGGTATAACATTGAGAAGGACATTGCCGCATTCATCAAGAAGGAGTTTGACAAGAGACTTGTCCCGAAGTTTCGCCAGGGGTCGTCGGGATAGGATGCCATTGCATGCCAAAAATAGAATGTGTTCTCGGATGTTGAAACAGACACATGAGGAAGTATAACCCGACTTGGCACTGCGTCGTCGGCCGAAACTTTGGCTCCTACGTGACCCACGAGACCAAGCACTTCATCTACTTCTACTTGGGCCAGGTCAGAAGAGTTGGCTGAAAGTAATTCGTTAACACGAAGCTCAAGAACGACTTGTAAGACTGGGCGGCAGAGTTGGCAGTTAGGTGAATTGGCAGTTGGCAGTTGGCTCCTCTAGCACCCGCCACCAGCGCCATAGTTGCCATAGTTGTGTGGGGCGAGTGGGATCAGTGAATCAGGTTGCCATTCTGTGCTTCAAGCTGCGAGCTGAGTCTATGGTTTAAGGCTCTGTGCAATAGAAGCAGGATGGACAGATGGACTTGCAGCTGTTTAGCATGCCCCCGGCGACCTGGCTCAGGTCTGGATGAGGCGATCAGGCGGGCTTGACTCAGTTGGGTACTGAGGGCCGAGTTGAGAAAGAACCCAACACGTTTGTTGAACGACAGGAAGCTCACTAACTCTCATTTATGTAAACAAAGCCACGAAGAGCCGGACGGTTCGCATGCCAAGATCTTGGCACATGATGGGCGCATGTAACGAGAGGCGCAGCCTGGTGGAGCCCTCCCTGCCTCCCAACTACTGATTCGCTCCTCTTCGCGCCGCCATCGGACCCAGTCTCACCGAGATCATGTTTGCGCGTCTGATGTATGTATATATATCTACACATATACACATACACATACATATACATATACATATACCTATACATATACATATACAGACAGATCATATATATATATATATATGAGAACGCATATCTGTGCGTTGTTAGAGAACTCATGGAGTTTGCCTGGTTGCATGATGTAGGCGAAGAGCTGCATGAGTTTCACACCAACAGCTGGGAGAGGGGGGAGGGATTGGGGGGGGTTAGGCAGAAGGCCCCCCTCACTACCCAAACCCAAGGAATTCGGCGCAAGATTGCATCAGGCTCGTAAACAGAGTCCTGTTCGGCTCAGCCTGCGCAAAAGAAACAAGTTTTCAGGTCCTAGTCCGAAGTTGGGCGTCGCTGGCCCAAGCTGCCCGCCGCAAATCTCATACCTAGAAAGAGCCTGTGGAATGCGAGGGTGGACCATCCGCACATCATCCGCCTACACGAGTGGTATGAGGGGCAGGGGGCCTAACGAGATTTGTCTTTGTAGAGCAGCCAGCATCTGGAGCAGACTCGTGTGAAAGCGACTTCCAGCTATTGCTATCAGACTCGGCACTATAGGCCTGCATTTTTATGTGCAAAGCCGAATATTCATGGCAAGATGCAAAGGCCCAGAATGCTCTGACATGGAAGGTCATCCAAAATCTATTTGGTGATGGATGCGATCAAGGCCGCGCGATTCGATCCGTTGTAGATGATTTTTCGCCTTACGGAGCCTCCCACTGCAGTGTCCCATGGTGGTTCGAACAGCATACAGCCGCACAACAATCTGGCAGCTCGCGTTCTGCTTTTTCTGTTGCTGGTTTCTTGAACTGAAGATGTCCTGTCTCAGAATGTCTCAGAGCACCTCGCCACGATGAGTCCCCAATTCTCCAAGCCTCTCTCCATGGGTTCCGAGCTCTTGGCCCACAAGCAGTGCAAGGGCGGCACGCTGCGCGAAGTCCTGCTCCGCTTCCAAGCAGACGGGCACGGGGGCCCAGCGTCTGGAGGCTCCTGTGGCAGCAGGGCTTAGTCCCTAGAAACATTAGGGATCACCTCTTCTTGCCAGTCTGCTTGTGAGAAGCTCAGTTTTGTTGCAGCATCAGAAAGACGGGGAGTGCACGGCCCCAGAGGGGCGAAGCCGGAGGGGCGAAGCCGGCGCGTGCCCTCCGCAGGAGAGGAGTGCTCCCTGGAATCGGCCCACCATTTCTACTCGTAGCACCTGCGGGACCCTGAAACAACAATCTTCCTCTTGCTTCCTCGTTGCCCTCAAACACGAACAAAGTTCCCAAAACACAAGAAACAAGCAGAGCACCACGAGAGACAGCAAAAAGTGAAAAGAAACAGCCGCTCAGAAGGCAAAAAAGCGAGAGAAGCGATGTGTGAAGCCCCCCCCCAGGTCCGCCGTCGAGGAGACCTGGAGTCGCATGGTGACGAAGCAAACGCTGCAGGCCCGCAGCCTTTCTGAGAGACTTGTCCGGGAGGAGGGGGGGGGGGTGGGGGGGTGAATTTTCTGATCTTCTACAGAGAGTGGTCTGCATAGGTGGTTTTTTTTTTCGGCATTTTAGGGTCTACAGGGAGTCCAGGGCTTAGGGTGTTTTGTTTGTTGGCGGGGCTTTGGTGGTGTCAGGGTCTTGGGGTGTTAGCTGGTGTTTGGGTCCTTCAGGGTGTTGGGGTTTCAGGGCGCAGGATGGTTCGGGGAGTGTTAGGCTGGATGCAAAAAAGGTCATAGCATTTGGGTCTTAGGCTAGGGGTTTAGAGTTGAGCCTCTTTTTTCAGCCCCTTACGTAGCTCGGTATACTCTGTACTCCAGAGAAACAACCCGGGCCTGGGCTAAAAAGCACTTTCTGGAAGGACCGAAAGTACAAGGGGAGCATGTAGGAGCATTCAAACCCCTGACCAGGCCATGGCTTATTGCCACGGTATGCGAATCATCCACAAGGACCCGATGTTTTTCATGTTTGGTTCAAGAAGCCCAGTTTACGAAGCAGAAAGATTGGGGGAGCTGCTGCCATGAGGACCTCAAGGACGAGAACGTGATGCTCCTGAAAGGGGCTGGGAAGCCCAGAGCACCCAAAAAGAGTGGCGCACAGACTTTTGTTGCTCCCTTCGGTTCTTCAGCTGTATGTGTTTTCTTCTTGTGCAGATCCTATCTTAAGGCTCAGGATCTCCCACTCCCTGAACTCAATTTGTACTGGTATCTCAACAGAAATCGTGGCCCACTCCCCTCCCCTCGACCCCCAAAATACTACCACCCAACCCTCATTTTGGGAACCCCAAAACAACAACACGTACTAACAGCAAATTCTCAAGCGCCCCAGTCGGAGACCTCCGAGCCCTTCGTGGTCATTATCGACCTGGGAGTCGCCTGCAGAGATTTCTTGGTTTTCTGCGTCTTCGTGGTGAGTTTGTGCTGAGAGGCGTTTCGGATTCTGGAGTTCAGCCGGAAATCCGCGCTTACGATAGACCTGCAACAGTAGTCAGGATTACGTTTCCTGCTTTGCCTTCGGTGCTTGACATGGCCATCGCTGTAGTCGTGCGTAGCCTTTCCTGCTGTGCCCTGGCGTGACAGCCGGTTGGGCGTGGAAATTCCCGGAAATTCAGATCCCGGAAGCAAAAGCATGCATCTTCCCAGTCTTATGCACGTTTGCTACTTATACGGCGCCGGGGCGCGTCTGCCCAGGTGTCGGAGATGTTCTCATCCTCCGATCCACACGGAAAGTCTGGGGCCTCAAGAAAGCTGCTGAGATGTGCATCATGGAGAGGGCCATTTGGTGTTTTTGGGATTGGCCTAGATGCTTTCCTGCTGGATGCCATCAGAGTCTCCATGCGTAAGGGCGTACTCGGCATATTTCACCGAGCCGTGGGCTCCAAGTGCGATCATCTCCGATCCGATCACCGATCGCAGCAATGACCAGGGACGACGGTCACGACTCGAAGGCGCAATCGGAATCTGCCAGAGTCTGCAACCACTAGCATAAGCCTGCTTCCTGCTATGCTCAGGTTCACACATGTCTAGCCTGGGTTTGTAAATTTGTTTCGTGCCGGAGCTGGTTCCCATGCATGTTGCAACGCACAAATCCCAAATGATTCTGACTTTTCTGAAGTAGATGGCTGATCACATAAATGAGAAGGAGTGGTCATTACGAGCATGGAGGATTGCGCCGGCATCATGCTGTAGTTGAAGCTTCTGCCTCAATTGGTACGAATTCGCCAGCAGCACTTTTGCATTTCTGGTAGTTTGCAATGGATGGGTCTGGCTTCGACATCCTGCGAAGGGGTGGGTGTTAACAAGAAGGAGTGGGCAATGAGGGACTTCGAAGTTATGCTCACGCCCGCCCCTTGTTCATAACGAACTCCCCATTCAAAGTGCATGTAGGGTTGCAAAACAGCTTCCTTGTCGGGCCAAGGGAGAGGGGTGGGGGCCACATTGCTGGCGTCGGCAGCTTGCGTACGTCACTAGTCAATACCGCCTTTTCGCATGGTGCATGGGGCAGAGTAGCAGGGGGCTTTGAAGGGCTTTGCCTCGCAGCTTTCCAGGCCTTACCGTTCTTGGATGCGGCCAAAGAGGAGCTGAGCGGCTCGGGGCTCAAAGGGCCCCCGGCTTCGCATGCACATACACATGCTTCCCTCTTGTTACCCTGGACTGAGGCCAGCTGTTGTCCATGGCCACAGAGGGAATCGCTGAGCTCAAGGATCCCTGGATTCATTGCTGAGCTGCGACATGAACACGCCATCTCCCCCCACACTTGTCTCATTCTGTGAATGTGCCCCAGAGGCCTCTGTGCAACATGCTTCAGAGATGCTGAAGGACTTGGGAACTTGGGATGGGGATGGCAATGGTATGAAGGGTAGCAGGGATATGGTAGCCAGCAGAGACCTGACACAGCCCTTTGACATGAGCGACCTTGGAGGCCGACTTGGTCGCCGCCCAACAGGACTCGCAGGTGGCGTTGAGATTTTAAGACTCTCCTCCGAAACATCCTTTCCAAGACCTTAAGAGAGTGCAACTGATGCCTCGTTTCCATGGTGACAAGTCACCCCGCGCTGCCCTTAATCTGTGGAACGCTTGCAAGCACAATGCTCCCAAACAGGCAGTTGCACCTACGAGCGTTGCAAGCGACTCGGCCGAGAACACCCCCGACGTGGCGCCCTCCAAGGCTACCCCGGCTACAAAACCTACGAGGGTTCATGAAACTCGTGACCTGGTTACGTGGTGGCATTGGCAGAACACCTCAGAGAAGAGGGAGCTGCGCCCGGAGGAAGATCGCACGGTTGTGCGCTCCCCTTTCTTCGAAGTCACTGTTCGGAGCGATACTGAGAGAGCACCCAAGCAGCAGCCATTTCCATACTTCTCATGGCCTCGTATGGGGCGCCAGAAGTGGGGCTACTCCAAAGACGATGGGGCTGATGACTTCGACAGAAATCGCTGTACATGCACATGGGCACACTTTCTCTACTCACGAGATGTGTGGGTAGAAGTGACGGTTCTGAGCGACACGGACCATCCGAACATTGCCAGTGAGCTCCTTCTTCGTCCCCGAAATATCACGGAAACACAGGGCGGGTATTGGGTTCCTGAAAAATCGGGCAAGAACACTGTCAAGTTCAAAATTCCGTACAGCGCAGATGGCCTACGCTTCTCCTTGGAGTTTGCCTGGGAGACGCTTAACGGCTATGGGCTATGAGTCTACTGAGGAACCGACTAAGCACTCCCCATTCAGGGGTGGCTTCTGAGGGCGCACCTCAGCTCTCTTGTAGCTCTCTTGTAGCGCGCATACCAAGGACCTTTACCTTCCAGCACGATGGCCGCGACATTGCGGAGTTACCGCGCAATGCTCTGATCCTCTTTGCCGAGCCCATCGAGAAGCAGATCAGGTGCAGAAGATTGAAGCTAGCGGCTAGCAGTTGATGACGACGAAAGGGGCTTTGTAGGCCATGGGTCACCTGGAATGAAGAAAGGGCAGCCCTCCTCTTTGTGCACTCTTCTTGCGATCTGCTTGCAGGCCAGAGGATTTCTTCTCATCAGCAGAGTTGGAGTCCAAAGTGCACTACGTGGATCCTGAAAAGGACCCCGTGCAAAGACACAGGAATGCCGAGTGCATGATCTCGCAATGACGGCAACCGGGGACTTGAGACATTGCCGTGTGCAGGACCTCCCCCTGAACTTAGATGCCGTCCAGAAGCCCGTGATCTACTTTCCGCCTGGCGTCTATGCCATGGCAGCTCGGAGTAACATGTCAGAAGGGCCCCCCCCCCTCCCCCACGCACGAATGCACAAAGTTACAGAGGGTGTGCCAGCATCACGAGTGTCACGAGGCCTGGAACTATCATGCGTACCTGAACAGCCATATCGAGTGGATCTACCTTGCTCCGGGGGCTTATGTCAAAGGCGCCATACAGCTGCCGGGCTTACAGACGTCCTCCTACGATGTGTGCCTCCTTGCCTCACCCGCGGAGGGTGCAACGGTGCAACTTCCATTTGCTGCCCCCCGAATTTGGCACCCTTGGGCACCCCTTCACTCTGCCGCACTGCAGGTTCCGTGGACAAAACGGAAAAACGCCTGCGAAACTGCGGATCACAGGACCATATGGGTCTGCCGGGTGTGCGATCATTTTAAAGGGCAAATCCTCAGAGGCCGCCGGATTAAAAGCTCTGCACTTGGAGGCGCCGGCACGCTGTCCGGCGAGAAGTATGTCTACGAGTGTGACAAGGAGCTCCGATTGGTAGGGGAGCCATCGTCCCCAGAACCAACCCCCCCGGCAAGGAACACGGCTACGCCACGCGGCCAGCCAACGAAGCAGGAGGAGCTCCTCCAAGTGTTCAGAAGCTGCGCGCAGATTCATACAACGCTTGGATTCTTTTTTTCAGATTGTGGGCCACCCTGCAGGCTACGAGGGCCGCTGCCTGAAGATGATGGAGCCTTCTCCAAGAGGGGCTTCCACTTGGGGTGTTTTTTTCTGTGGAGGAACTGCGTGAGAAAGTGTGTTTGACCCAGACCACAACCGTTGGATCGGCATGCCTTCGTATCTCGGCAGTGTTCCGAATCATGGTAATATATGGCATTAAGTGGCTAAGGTGTCACGACTGGAAGATGTTTGTTGCCTCAGGGCTGCCGGTGATATCGGAGTCTGACACAAGATGCACAAGATGCCCTCTAAGAAGCCCACACAGCTCAGAGTTTCCGCCTGGCGTGAAAGCCCGTGGAGTTAAGGCCTCCACGCAAACACAGGAATCATACATATACATGCATGGCCATTGTTCTGCAGGTTAGAACCATCAATGCCTTTCAGTTTTGCTTTTGTGGAAGCACTCGTCGCGACATCCCCTTATAAATGCTGAACAGTTTGTCTGCATGCAAGGAGTTCTACTCACCGGAGGGCATGCGCCAGGAGCCGTGGATGTAAGTTTCAGCTCGGTGCTAGGAGGCTATCATGAAGTCTGAAAAAGCTGGAGGGCTGAGGTTCCTGGAGCTCTGCACTCAGGAACTTGAAGTTCAGGGCATCACGATCACGAACCCACCTTTCCATTCCTTCACAGTCTACGGCACCTTGAACAAGGCTGGACTGGTATATAGTCCCAGTGCCTGGTAGACCAAGCTGCCTTCTTGAGCCCCTTGGCACTTAGCCGCCAGCCCGCTCTCAAAAAAAAGAAGAGGCAGGCTCCGAGTTTGCCACCAACGTGAGCAACTACCACATGGTGGGAGTGTGGTACTACCAGACAGATGGCCTCGAGGTGTGCAGGGTTCCCCCCACGTCCTCCCCCCAACGTCCTCCCCCCCCCCCCCCCCCGCCCACGTCCCGACCCCTTGTCTTGCTGCGTCGAGTCGAGCCGAACTTTTTCGTTGGTTTTGTGGGAGAGGGATACTGAAAAAGGTGCCCAGCTGGTCCACGGTGCAGAACTCCTTCTTCCAGACCGGCGATGATTGCATCAAGCTGTACTGGAGCAACGCCCCTCTACTTGGCCTGTTGAAGAAAGCTCTGCCGTGCAGGGCAGTGTTGGCATCACTGAGATGAATGAACGAAGGTTCGGTGCATGCATCCTACTATGACACAGCGACCGGGTGTGACACGGTTCCGAGGTCACGGTGAGGAAGATCACAGCCTGGTTTCAGGGAAACGGGGGCCTGATCCAATTTGGTTGGAAGCCTCGCAACCTTGCCCAGATCACCTGCGAGGAGCGCCTTCACATGATTCGCATGATTCGCATCGTGTCGGACCTGGCGGCATGGACTGCTCATTTGTAATGGGCTTCCTTTTGAAGTGAGTCGGGGTCCCGCCATATCACGGCCACCTTATAAGGCAGTTAGCTTGAGGGTACTGGCTGCAAATGCTTCGCACATGCGTCGCAAATCAAACGCACATGCTTCACCCCTGAAATGCTTCGCAATTCTTCGCAAGGCCACATGTTCATCACACGCAGGCCGGAAAGGTGGCTAGGATTCTTCACTGTCAGCATAGCTGCTACAGTGCGAGCCATCACTATCTGATGCAATCAAAGCTGCTGTGAGCTTTGTGGCGAGTAAATACCATTTGGTGCCCATCTGCTAGCACATCGGGTTGCACCTGGACTGGGAACCCCAGCTAAGCCAGAGATTGCCGGCCCGGTTCTCAGGAGGTGGACGTCATCCATGACCTCTCCCGCTTCAGGCAGGCTAGCAACTGCGCGATCATCTGCGCAGCTGACTTGATCTGCGCCGGTGACGAAGCGACTGCGCACGAGTTCGACATCGAAAGCCTCACGCTCAAGGATATCCGCGTAGAAGGCAAATGCATGTGCCCTATTCGAATTGCTGTTCAGTCCCAGATCCGGAAGATCCAGATCGAGCGCTTGTGGGTCGATCAGTGGGACGGATCGAATGATCAATGCTGTGTAAAGGATTTCAAGAAGAATCCTCGAGTGACGCAGTTTTTCCACGGCTTAAAGGATGCCTTCCTTGAGATCTGCGACTTTCGGATCGGCGACAAGGTGATCACCGAGGCGAACGCGCAGTCCTTGGGTAGAATCGCCTTCGACAAGCTCTTCGACTCCAAGTGGTCCCTGAGCTCCAGTCAAATATAGCGGGGTCTGAAGTGATGGTGGGCTGAGAGAGTGTGCTGGGGGGCTTCTTCAATCGGTGTTCGTTTTGGAGCCCGACGAAGACCAAGAACACGTTTATGTTCGTGCTGATTGGGCGCGGACGTTGTCACATGAAGCTCTGTGACTTTTGCGAAAAGTGCCGGAACTGAGCACCCAGAGGTGTACTTCAGGCAGGAACCAGACCAGCGCTGGCCTGCTGCGCGCGGCATCACGTCGCATCGATCGAAGCCCTCCCCCGCAAAAAAGACGCTTTTCATCAGCTTGTCTCTGACGTGGCTGGGCTGTGACGAATGAGTGGGTTATTATGAGGACCGAATCGGGGGCGGGGGGTGGGGTGGGGTGGGGGGGTGGGCGGGATCACGAGTTTGGGAAATCATGTAAGGGCCCGTGTTCTCGTAGCAGGTACCAGGAGGGCGCTTTGGATATAAGTTGTTTATAACTTGGTTATAACTTGGTTATAAATTCTGTAACTGAGTTATAAGTGAGCTATAAGTATGTCGATTTTTGTTGAACTTATAAACGTTTATAAGTCACTTATAAATACTTGGCCTGTCGGACTTATCTGGACTTAGGTGGACTTAGGTCTACTTACGAACCACCTTTTTTTGTGCTATTTGTTGTTGCTTCTGGTGTGATGTTGTTGTGATAAATCGGGTTTCCTTGCAGCCCGACTTGCCACGGCCGCCTCAAGTTTTGTCCGTTGTCCCACTTGTAGCGGTGGCACGTCAGCCGCTCCAGTGCGTCATGTTTCCACGCGCCGGGCCACGCAAAAAAACTCACTAACAGCCTGCTCTACGTTCCGCAGCATCCTTTTGCCACCCTGATAAAATACCGGACAGCGCTGCCAATTGCGAGATCCTCGCTTTTCTCGCCGACGTGCTTGCGGAGCAGTGAGTTGCGGAGAGCTCCGGGCTATGTCCGCGGGTGTCCGCGGATGTCCGCGGATGTCCGCGGCCTCCTCGGCCCCAGTATAGGCCTTTGCCTAGCAGAGCATGTCCGCGCGGCCAAACAATGTGTTCTGCTGGGGCTACACATGTAGGGCCAGGTTTTTCATGCCCGGTTCCCTGCTTTGGATCCCTATACCCTCAACCCCAAACCCAGCTACCAGAACCCAAGCCGAGCAGACGGTGGAAACCTTGCAGTGCCACAATTGCCGCTTGAGCAAGGAAGTCTCCCAACGCCGCCAGCACGGGCTACGCTTCCTGCGCCGGACGTGCGAGAGTGTCCAGCGGGCGGTTGCGAAAATGGGATGCGAAAATCACCATTCCTGGCAAAAAAGACGGCGATCGTACAAAATACAATTTTGTGAAAACCTGATAGGACTTAGGTCTACTTATAAGTTACTTATAAGTTACTTATAAGTTACTTATACGTAACTCACTTATAAATACTCCAACCTAAGTCACTTATAAGTGGGTTATAAGTCCGTAAGTTCAAAGTGTCCTCCTGGTAGAAATGCACAAGGGAGCCCAAACTTGGGTCCTTTCTCGGGATCTGCCGCTTTGAACAACCCTCGACCCCTCAAAGGCTGATGGGTGGCACGCCAATGACCATGGCTCCGGAGGCCGCCGTTTTGCCGGGGGGGGGGGGCCGGGGGGCTGCATGCAGTATAGTGCCTTTATTTGGGCTTTGGGACTGTCGTGCACACGAGAAAAACTTCACTTGAAGCCAGTTCCTGGAGAAGACGTGCATCCAGGTTTGGGAGAACAACTTCGGGCCCAAGTGTGATGTTTGGTCTGCCGGCCAGTGACCCAAGAGTTGTGCGCTTCACAATGCCTCGCATCAGTTTTTTAGGACACATCCTCCTATGCTCCTGGTGCTTTCAGCTGTTATTTCTTGGACCATCTGGTGCTTCCCTCATGATCGCGCTTGCCGCGCCCTTTGTGTACGAACGAAGGCTGCATGCTCTACGAAATGCTCGCGGGGAGCCTGCCCTTCGCTGTCAGGATGCGAACCCCAATTTTCTTGGGAAGGTTGCAAGTAGAAGAAACAGCTCGGATAGGACCACTGCCATCTGTGGAGCATTGACACAGGCATGTTGCGCGTCGAGAGCATATAGACTCGCCGACTGGTAGGCTGACGGTTGCTTCCTGTGGGTAGGCTACCCGTAGGCCTACGAGCAGGATCGTGGGGAAGTAGGCCTGTGGGTAGCTTACGGGTAGGCGCAGGCGAGCCGTAGGCTCGCGGTACGCCTACCGGTAGGCTACCCGAGGCCCTACCGACAGGCGTAGCCTACCGAGGCCTTACCTCAGGTTCGATAGGCAGTTTCAGTGACTTCAGTTTCTGCCCTTTCTCCAATGTTCAGGAGCATGAATCCGAAGGATTGGCAAGCCCTGCACCGGTATGGCCCCGACTGGAAGAAGGCCATCGTTTGCCTTGTCCGGGTGCAGGGACTGGCAGATGCTTCCCAAAAAGGCGCCTAAAACTGTCACCCGTAAGACTTCGCCCGCCTGAGTTCGACTCAGTCCTGGCAGGTGAAGACATCAAACCTCAGCCGCAAGCTGTGCATCGCCCTCAGAGGAGCCATCAGTGGATACCTAGTAGGGTGTTAGGGTTTAGGGCCCTTTAGAAGTCTAAGTGTAAAGACGATGGCGGTGGCTATAACTGCCGTAAAAAGGCGGACAAGTCGCGTGATCCAGGTGACTTTGCGTCAACGTGTATTGACCGAACTCATGCAGGGCTTGGGGCAGCGGCAAACACCCGATTGTGATCGATTATTATGATTATTATTCGTACCATGAGTATAAATTATCATTATGATGATTATCTTCGGGACTAGGTGTAGTATTGATGAGTTTTTGTTCTTGTTATGTATCATTGTTACTGTCAATACAAAAATCAACTGAATCTAGATGTTTTGTATATTCCAAGGGGCTACGCCCAGGGGCGGGCAACGCCCCCAAAGCAAAACCCCTCCCCCCCTCCCCCCGCGAGCCACTGATGCTGCCGATGCTCGCCCCCCGGATCCCCAGAAACGAAGCCTCGATGATGCGCACCCCTGGCCCCCGCCCGGCCGCGCATCATGAGCATCAGCGGCTCCGGCCTCCAGGCATGCGTAGCTTATGGGGGCATATGCCGGCCTCAAAACGGAAATGTCCGTAACAGCACGAAAACCACGGGTATTTACAGCGTTTTCTGCGTTTTCCAAGCTCGCAGCCGCATCCGAAGCCCGAGACCCAACCCGCTGATGCTCATGATGCGCGCTCTTGCGGGGGTCCTTTGGGGTGGCCGATGCCCCCAAAAAACATCATCAACGTCTTCGGCAGAAGTTAAAAAATAGAGTCAATGATGCTCTCCGGGGTCGTTTTTTGGGACCCCCGCGGGGCACCCAAAAGATGCGTTCATGTACCTAAAGCCTAAAGCCGAATTTGGAGCCGGATGTCGGCGAGCCAACCGAGTCGGCGGCACCGCCGTGCCATCCCATGGCTAAAGCTAGGTAGGGGGTAGGTGCTGGAGGCCCCCGCGGCCGGGAACCATGCATATTTCTCGAAGCCAGCTCAGATGATGCGGACGAAGATCGGGCTCTCACCTAGGTTCGGGCGTCGCATCGCCTGACGTCCTCGAAGCTTTCATCGCTTTGGGACTTACTCGGGGGTCGCGCCATGCTCAACCGTCGTCGCTTTTGCGCCTCTGGGTTCCCCAAATGCAAAATATTATGGTCGTTGCTTGTGGGCGTCTATGCTCACATGGTCCTGCTGGCAGAATCATAGTAGGTTGCCTCTTTTGCTTCGGATGGGAGCACGTGGTGGCAGAGGGGCCATCATTCAGAAGAGTTGAGCACGGCTTGCTAGAAGACTATCACCGTTGAAGCTCGCCTGCCGACACACGGAAGCATCTAAAGATGCTTGCAGCTGCGCGGTAATAGCAGCGGTAAACCCAGAACATGGGTGCTGAAATGCCGGCCAAAGGTCAAGAGATGCTGACATACTCGGACAGGGATAGGCCCGGATGGCGTCTTGAACCCGGATCGGGGGAGAGAAAGTCTGGTGTTCATGGTTTCGGACTTGGAGGAAAAGCAAGTTTTAGTCGAATGCTGCTTTGTGAGAGCTCACTACAAAACATGGGTGCGGGAGCCACCAAGGACCCCGAAAAATCTGTAGTCATTTGATGCCTATACCTTTCATGCAAGCCCTTAGGAACACCAAAGACGCAGCTCATGCCGCCGAGAGTTAAGAATCGCAAAGATCCTATAGTATGATCTCAACATGTCATCTGAATGACAGCACGCAGTGGAAACAAGCCTTGCGTTGTGGCGTGTGGCCTGAATTCGACTGGCCCCATGCCAGGCCCACAATGCTGCAGTGTCTGCAGCACAAGTGGCCTGGGCGCCCAGCACTCTGAGAGCTGCCTTGGAGCCTTGGGGGTGGGAAACCTTGGGAGCCAGGGGAGCGCCAACAAAGGTGCAAAGAAAAGGATGCGATGTGAATCGGGCGCAAGATCGTTGCAACATGTGCAACGGATCTCTGAGAGGCTTTACCCTGACACACCACCCCCAATGAACCAATGCATTTCAGTTCTGCGGAGTCCCCATCTGACTCAGGTTTGGGGCAAAGGACGAAAGCCTTGGGGCTGTGAACCCAGCTTTGCTTGCGTGCTCGCCTTCTTTATCTTGAGGTGAACATCTGAAGAGCGCGAGCGCTGGAGGGAGCAGAGGAGGGGTACGCTTCTCACCATGCCCAGGCCCTGGATGTCGACCAGCTCAAGCAGCTGCAGGAGAGAGCATAAAGGTCAAAGCTTAAGGCGGAGGGCCGGACGGCTATTGATGCTAAGGCCAAGTTAAGGCATGATCCCTCCCTAGACAATCACACTCTCCACAATCTGCCACGAGGAGTTCGCGGACGAGTCCGCGTTGAAGCGAGCCCAGCCCTGAAACACGCCGATTCTTGACGGACAGCTCGCAGCTCGCAGCTCTGTCATGCTGAAGATGGATATCTACTTAAAGCGAGCGCGCGCGTCGCGTGTGAATTAGCGACTCTTTGCGG